TCAGGATATGGAAATTTAGTATAGCCTTAGTGTAAATATATGTAAATTAGTTTTTTTCATTTAAATAATTTATTTTATTCAATAAATATATTCAAATATATATTATTATTTATTAAATATATTAAAATTTAAGTATTTAACCGTATTCATTAATTAATTTTTTATTTGTTTGGTTCAGGGTAGTATCTAGTCGAGCACTCTCGACTAGAGTTTTCTTACTTGTTTACTATTTCCTTTTTGTCTTTGTTGTTTTTCTTTATTTTTTGTTGGCATGGCGTCATACAGAAGGAGGACTTCGTGGTGGCAGCACACATATTGAAGGCGAAATTAACACCGAGCAAACAAATAATTCTAGTCTGTGTGGGTGGGGCGTGGCGGGGCGAGATGGGGCGGGGTGAGCCTTGCTCTTGGCCAGAAAACTGATATCTAATTGAGTAAACAGCAAAGTGAATGGCCATGAATTAGCCAGAGGCGACAGTCATGGACGCATTGCCATTAATTTGCTGATATATGTATATAAATATACTATACAAAGATATATACACATCTATATATATATATCTGTATCATGTCTACAGCCTTGCATCCTTCAAGTACAATTCATAGTTGTGTTTTGGATCCTGTGGGTTCTTTTCAATTGTCTTGGATTTCGAGAGCGGTAGGAAAAATCGAAAAGCACTGTGTGTGCTGTGCCAGACATACATAAACACACACATATGACCCAACCTTGAAGTGAATGCAATTGTTCTGCAAATTGATGTACTTACCCTCTGTTTCTACGTGGGTGTCAAACTGAAACTGCCCTTCGTCTGACAATTGATGGGCTATATTTAGATCTACTAGGCAATCAACAATTTTTAAAGCATGTTTCAAGTTTATAAACAATTTGAATGTCATTCACAATTTAGTTGAGTGCTGCGCACTTTAAAGTTTTTATTCTTCTTTTTTTTATGTTTTGTCGAATGTTTCAACTCACATGAATTCTGTCACAGACTGTGGAAAGTTTTGTACGCACACAAGCTTTTTATTATCCTGGCTCTCGAGCTTTTGTGGATTTTTGGCAAGCACAGCGCATGCGTGCTTCGAGCTTCCGGCATTTGCGGCGTAATGTTTTGCTTCGTTACACGCTTTGTCTTCAGAATCCTTGCGCTCTCTGCTTTGACTCGCTGATTCGCGTGAATGAAATTATATGAATTGAACGAAAAACTTCACAAGCTTTTACCCATCATACATAGGTTTTTGCATTAATATATATTCTTCTCAACTGATTTTCCATTCGGAATAAATATGTACATCTAACGTAAATTCGGCCGTTATGTCGTTAGTAGATTTATAGTTAAAAAAATTTACGTTAAATTAAAAAAAATACGTATTAACAGGGCTACTATACTGCAAAGGATTTTTTAGTATTTATTTATATATAACTTATGTACACACTGTTTCTTGCTTGCTTGCTTTTTGCGGCAAAACAAAAATACAAAACTATAAATTAAATGAATCTTAATGTTAGCAACAGTTTTGGATTTACTTGCCGTGTAAGATTATCTATTTCATAGTTAAACATATTTAAATTATATTGTTATATTATATTTAAAGTTGCTACGGAAACAATGCGACAATGCACAGACGAGCAAACGTACCGCCGAGGATCTTGTCGATCTGCTCAAGAGTCTAAACGCAAAGGAAAAGGTGCGCGAGAAACATGAAATCAAATTAAATTTTATTTATTAAATCAATGTTTATCACAAGCAGCTTCTGTTATCAAAATACTTTTGTCAATTACCTTTAAGTGTCGGTAGTTTTCGAGTGTTGCGCCAGTTGCAAAAGCTAAGAATTCTGACGGCCACAGAATATATATGCAGGTAAATATTTGATGATAGCCATATAAATCTTTAATATATCGTTGCTATTTATTGACAGTATTGAGAACGATGAGCAGCTGGAATTGATATTAATAGAGTTTCTGCAAAATGAAAATGAATTGTTGATAAATCTTTTTATTTCGGCTCATTATGGTAAAGTAAAATTATTTATGGAAATTATAAAATAATTAATTGTATTTGATTTGCAGATTCTGTAAATATGCTGAGACTGAATAATATACTCGTAAATGCTTTAAAAAATCTCTTTACCGCTCTGGCTGTTAATCCTAAGATCAGCAGCTTGAGCTATGTTGAACCGCTGTGTAAATCTTTGCCTGGTAGAAGATCTTTAATTATCTATTATTATTCTTATTATTATATTATATCTCTTTTCATAGACGATGTATTGTTAAATGTATGCATACAAATGCACTTGAATTGTCTATTGGAGTTGCATGTGGCTGCCGATATTAGTCTGGCGTTTCAACATTTGAGTGCCTGGATTAATGAGGGAGTCGATGAATTAATCTTCATCAAACGCCTCACTGATAAAGTAAATATATGAGAAATATATAGAAAAATGCAAGAATTAACAATGAGATTTCTTTTTAGCTTCTTGTCAGACATCAGGAGCAAGCATTAAGTCATCTATTTAAAGTATCTACGTCAACCAGTTTTAAGTATTGGAAATTCTATATAATTTTGCTGCAATCAATAGCCAGCGCCGCTAATGCAGACACGACCACTTTCATTAAAAGTATAGTATATTTAATTGATAATACGTATAAATATATATTGTATAGCTAATGGTTATTATCTGTACGTAGAATACCTCAAGAATCGTCTGCTACATGCGGCTACGCTTCGCTGCCAGCTTACCTTATTGCATTTACTACTCACGGCGCGAGCTGCTGCGGCTAACACAATGAATATACAACAAAATTTGGATAATTATGCTAAGTGGTATAAGCAAAATATAGGCGAAATGTCCTATGTGCTAAGCACTGAACAGTTTCAGGTAGTTTTAAATATGCTAGAAGATTCCATACATTACGAACAAGAAATTGATTATGTAGAGGTAAGCATCAAGTGAAATATTTATTTCTATATATGTATTTTAATTGTAATAAATTATTCTTTCAGATTCATGCAGCGATTGCCATTTCACCTGGTGGCAAACTGGTGCAGTCCTATAAAACCAAGTGCAAGGCCCATTTAGCACGTTTAAAACTTGCCAGAAAGCAAAATGATATTATAAATTGTTAGATTTTGTTTGTATTCATATTTAGTATTTAAAAATTTATCTATATATTTACAATGATCCCAGACAAAGTTACAATTTCACAGTTTAGTGGCACGTCCCTTGCCCGCCAGCGGCTTGTTTCGTTCATCCCAAAGCGTAACTCCATCACAGGCGCAGATTCGTTTAAAATTTTGCAATATGCCAGCCGATCGTGCAATTATTCCACAGGCGATTCTAGAAGAACGACGCCATTATAATCAATTTTAATGATATATATATTTATAAAACTTACCTTTCACCTGAATTGCCATCAAGGCGACTTTGTGGATTGTTGCCGCACCCCAAATCGTCGGCATTGGCTGTAATGACAACGGCACGTCCGATAATCTCCCAAATATCCAGAACTGGATCTACAAAGCGGAATGTAGCACGACCTGTTTCATCGGCTCGTATATTACCCAAATCGCCGGCATGTCGTTCAGCTGCATCTGCATTGGGGCTGCCGTGCGGCGAATTACGTGGATTGTAATGATTGCCAACCGATGCACAGCCATTCGACACATCGCCACTTTCGTGTATGTGGAAGCCATGTAGCCCAGGCTCTAGTCCATCCACAACGCCGTCCACAACTACGCCTGCCTGTTTGTCAGTAATCGTGGTGAATCGTACTGCGCCCTGCACAGGTGTTCGATCCACTACACAGCCAGTTGTATTGATGAGTGCCACCGCTGATTGGCCACCAAAGCCGGAGAGTACAGCGCGACGACCGGTGCTTTCGATTTTATCCTGCACTTCGGACCACGGTGCTGTGGTCTGCACAATCACTCGGCCCTCGGTCGCATCAATGTCGACATGACCTATGCCCTGCAAAGCGTGCCGCAGCTTATCCACGCACGATTTAACATCTTTATCCATTTGCACTGCAAACTCAATCTATATATTATCGTAAGTAGGTATTAATAATGATTTAATTGACAATATTCTTACCTTCGTTGAGTCCATTGCGTTGTTTATAAGCAGTTGGTCAAAAAAACACAAATAATGTTGATAAGGTGTCGATAAATGAATAAATGCAAGACTCGATAGCTCTAATCGATATTCTCAATTGCCGGTTGCCCATATGCGATATATTGTGTATATCGATATGTGACATTATTTGAAAAAAAGAACTAGTTGAGCTGTAACCATAAAACGTATAAATAAAAGAACCACATACTTTTAGTTTTAAGAAAGTTCTAGTAAAATTTGTTTATACAATTTGCAGAATAACAATGTGTCCTTTTAATAAATATAAATAATTCGTTTTTTAAATACATAATAAAAATTTAAAATAATGTAGAGTACATTTTATTTAACCAGTTGTATTAATTCGCTTAATTAATTATTGCACCTTAAATTTATAAATATGTACAAATATTTACAATTATCGAAGATCTACGCATTAATACCTAAATATATATGTATATATTTATAATTTTTAAAATCACACTTTTATTTCTCTATTGGGAAGCGCACACAATTTCGGAGATTTGTGCGTCCCAGAGTGGCACTGGAATGCTGCAGCGGCAGATTCACACTGTTTATCCTGGGAGTCTGCGTGTCTGTTTGTTTGTGTGTGCATGTCTGTTGGTGATATGTTGGTTTGCATTAGATCACTGGGGCTATTGCTACGTGGTAATTTGTGCAGCACGCGAGGTAGAGGGTGAGGGCTCTGACGTGTTGACAGTTGTACCAGTGGCAATTGGGGGAGGTGGCGTCGTAACGCTTCGATGCGGATCGATCTCTGAATATGGTGGAGCAGGCAGTGCAGCAATGCCAATGGCATTCGATTCCATCATGGGCGGTTGCGTTGGCGGTGGTGCCACAGCTGCCGTGGGAGTAGTTAGATTGCACATACGCATCACCTCTTCATAGCTGGGCAAATCCTTCTCATCCTTCTCCAGCTGCTCTCGTATGCGTGCGGCCTCCTGGCTGTTTGGCTCAATGTAGAAAATATCACCGTAACGACTGTGCTGACGTCCGAGCTCCACAGTGTTTTGGCGATCTGCAAGATAAGTATATAATTAAAAGACATACGTTAGCAATATCTCAGATCAAATCGTGATTTAGTCAGCCGACGCAAGTACCAAGCCTTTGACGTTGACGTTGTCTCTGGCGGTTCAATGAGACGGATTGATGAATGCGCATAGCCAGCTAATGAAAAGATATAAACTTTTAAGATAAATTGATTCGTCGATCGATGATCTGCACGATAATTACATAGATTGACTGGCTTATTACGAATAAGGCAATCAGGAAAGCGAATACCAAAGCCAAATACGACGTCAGAGTCATGTTACGTCTCAATTGTTATTGCCAAAAAAACAAAAATAAACTCCTTTATATACACATTATAATAAAATAATAAAAAAGTCAATTGTCTAGCAAAACAATAATAAAGTAAGCAGCCAACTCGAATGGTGCTAGGTGCTCAAAAAGCAGCGATTAGATAAACCCCGCCCTCATATTTGGCACACGTTACCACTGCGATTGCGATTGATTCGCCTGGGCTGGCGTTGGCAGCGCGGCGGACAAATCTTTGCCAGAGTTCGGCTCTCGATGCGCACATAGAAGCAAACGACGGGCACTACGCCGAAGAACAGGAAAACTAAGCCCAAATAGATGGCCACATGCAGGCCCAGTTCAGCGCCCCAATCCATAAGCGAATTGAACTTCAAGGAGGATTTCAGTTGAGACCCGGTCTCAGAGAAGGTGCATAATTTTTTTGCACGCCCGCCGCAGACAACGATACGTTGGACACTAATCATAGTGCCTATATACCCAACTAGTAGGCTATGTATTATATTATATACGAAATTACGTACGTGCATGTGTATGTGTGTAGGTATGTACATATATATGTTGGTACTTGTTTCGTTTTTAGTGATAAGATTATGTGTATACAGCCGCACGCAATACGATAAACGAAGTTGCTAAACTAGACATATTTATATACCTATACAATATATGTATATATGTGCATATGTGTATATGTACATATATACGTTTTGGCGGTCACATGTAAGCATTAGCTCACCTATGCTGCAAAAGCTTAAAGTACAACATAGCTAGAGCTTACTAACTAGCTCTTACTTTCTGTCTTTCTCTCCCTCTCTCTCTCTCACACACACACACGAACTTACTTCGTCTTCTGTTGCTATTTTGATTTCCCGCAGGACAACAGCATCTGATAATCCAGATAATCGTACACTAACCGAGAAACGAAAGAATCGAATGTAAAGCCTTAATTTAAAGCGATCTAAAATCGCGACTTTGTCCACGACTTTTTACCTGCAGCAGCGCATAGGATAGAAAGCCAACTAGCAAAAGTGCTACGAAATAGAAAACTGGACCCACTTCCATATTTCAGCAGGTTCAGATGTAGACTGAAGCAAGAATGCTTATCAAACCGAAGAAATAAAAGAATAATAAATAGAGACATAAAAGCAGACTTTTGAAATGGCTATACGCCGTAAACAGGGCTAACTGAGAGTCTTATCAGAGACACTTCAAGCCGCGCATAATATACATACATGCCTACATACATATACACATATATTTTCGTACTCTATATATTCTTCTAAGTAGTTCGCAGTGCATAGCTATTCTTGTACATACCAACGGAGCTCAGCTGAATGTCCCGATTATTGCGCGGCGACTCGGTTGGAGTGGAACGGCGGCACCCGAATATAAATCTCCAAATCACAAACTTTAAGATGAATGTAGAACACTTTTAGAGATAATAATAGGCGAAGCATTTGACTTTTACCTGTATGCAAGCATAGAGTGTGGGCATTGCGAGAACTATTATGAAGAATATGAAAACTGTATCGTTCATGATTATAGTTTGACGTATTCTAATCCGTTGGGCTTGAAAAGTCAGAGAGCACTGAAACTTTCCGCCTAAATCAAGTTAACAAAGATAGCCTAAACGGGACAATTCAATAACATTCAGTTAACTTTTCGAATTGGTCGAATTAGTCATTTAATGACTTCATGAAAGTTTATATATTTAAGTTCGGCACTAAGCTTATCAGAATCGGAGGTAATAAACGACGATTAGATTACCCAATTGAATGTACATAAAGAAAGTCGAAAACCAGTAAAATCCTTTAAAATCCAGTATATGACTTACATATACATAGGTATTAATATAAACTCTTGCACATACCTGTGCGAGGCTGCCACAGTTCGTAGCAGACCCAAACGGCGAAGCGCAGGCAGCAACAGCAAATGGCACAGCATACAAAGAGTAGGAATACGCCCGAGAATATGGACAATAAATCCAACATTTTGGCATTAAAATTTGCAAATTGCCAAAATAGAACAACTTTTATGGACTCAATCACATCGGTTCACGCAGACGCTGTTCGCAAACTGTTTGCATTTCCATGCTCTGCGGCTCTTTGGAGCATCTTATCAGCTCTATACAGAACGAGTGAGAACGATAATGAGAGTGAGAGTGAGAGAGCGAGAGAGAGAGAGAGAGAGAGTGGTACTATGCCTAGGCAGGTGGTATATACATAGGTGGCGCTCCCATTCGAGAGTTTCGCAGTGTCTGATAAGAGTCTGGTTCACTCTGATTAGATAAGATTTGCATCATTGCTTGGAAGCTTCATGCAGTCGCAGTTGCAGACGCTTAAATGTCTAAGAATACATCACAAATATAGACGTTCATAAATTTCAACAAAGTTGAAATCCCGCCAAGCGCGGAAGCATTCAAACAATTGTAAATTAATTCAGTGCGTGTGTGTGTGTGTGTGAATTTATATTGTGTGAGACACAAGCTAATTAATTATTACACAAGCATAAACAAAGCAGCAAATGAAAAACAAAAACACTGTAATAAATCTATTACGGACAAGCCACTTAAGCGGGCAGCGTAAAGCAATTATACTCCATTATTTCACTGCAAACATTTTTCACATGCTCCACAAAATTTAAATGTCGTGGGGAATTCATAACATTTCAATGTCAAAGGTGCAGACTTCAGTGGCAGCTGCTTCCCCAAGAAATACGTCATGTTTTAACGTAATTTATCGATAAGTCTCACGATTCCAATTGGAACTGTTGAACGAGGGCGAAGCAGAATGAGCGATTATTGCCTATCACAACCGGAAATTGAGACAGGTAGTCTTAATCTTTTTTTTATAAATTTATAATGGCCAGATATTGCTTATATAGTATACTATATTGGACCTAATCGAAGACTTTTCACGTGATGAATTCCAGTCTGCATATAGAATAGAGCTATATACATATATATCTAAAAGTTGTGAAAACGTGGGTAACTTCAAGGTTGTCTATATGACAATACATATTCAGGGAGACGCTTTATAATTGCTCTTATAATGTGTTTAAGAATGAATTTAAGAGTACATTAATAGAATACAGATATGTACATGAAAGGGTATATCAAACACATTGAAAAATAAATTTTACATTTGAGTCTATCTATGTGAATATATTTTAGAGTATATTACGCTATACGTACACTATACTATAAATACACTGAATACTTCTTAAAGAGAACATTTTGAGAACTTTTAAGGTCTTAAAGTCAGTGGGTAGTCGAGAGATATTTAAAGCTAGCACAATATTTGAAAGAATATATTTAACGGTTAGCTTTTCCACACATAATATCGTTCAGTTATAAGTGCCTAAAACCTTTGAATGTAAGATTCAGTTTCACACTGAGAGGTATATTTAAGCATAGCTTGAAAAGTACATTTAGTATTACTTTGAAGAGTACATTGAGGGTTTCATGGTTACCTTGCAATTAAGGCTAAACTTTTAAGAGTATAATTCTGTTGCACTTTCAAAGTGCTTAATGAACCCATTGAATAACTATTCTAACTATTTATATTTACATACATTATAGAACCTGAGAAGACTGCATACAAGTCCAACTTTATACCACTAGATTACACTGTATCCTAATATGGTTCTCCTGGTCCTGGATTGCACTTCACCACGTCGAAAGCCTTCAGAAAAGTATAGTTCAATTAATACATATTAAATAGTTGGTGCTTATGCCATTTTAATACTAATCAACAACAAATTTAAGTTTAAGCCAGGTCAGTGCTGTTGCCATTAATTAATATGCTATTCAATAAGCCAGCCACTATTACTTTTTTTAGCTACTCTATATTTTAATCGATTACCAATTGGAATTCCAAAGCCAATTAGATTAACTTGAATTAGAGATTGGAGCTGCTATGATATGCAGCTTGTTTTCAAGAACTATTTTTAATAATAATATACTAATTATCTATAAAAACTTTTAACAAATATATCCAAGACTATTTTATTATTTATTCAGCTATATGTGATATATATATATATATATATATATATATATATATATATATATATGTATATATCAAATAGATAAAATAACGATACCATTGTGAAATTGTTGTTTGGGCTATTCGCTTTGCCTTATCAATTAAATCTCTGAGACTTAATAGTTGGTATTTGACGTCATTCTCTGTTGATAGTCAGAAATTTTATCTCGGCTTATCACTTGTTTGACTGCTATCAAATCGGAGAGGAAGTCAGGCATAGGAAAGACGCATTTGAAAGGCTCCTTTGGCACAAGAAACGCAACATCATCAAAACACGCTGAGATGCTCGCGTGTATGGGGGGTATAAATGGTAATCGTATTGCGATAATTGGCTATGATTATGATTATGATGGTATAGAAATAGCCGCCTTATAGATAAGGCATTTCTAACTCGATTCAGCTGCTCATTGTAAATTTTTGCGGCTGCTCACCTGCGGTTATATCGGTCGCAGTGCCAGATGGATCGATGCGTATCTGTCTGAGCACACGTGGCGGGCCACGCCCATTCGCGGGCGGAGGCGGTGCGACAACGGGCTTACGCATAGCACACATACAGCACAACTGCAAGAGGCGAAAGGTGAACACACTGCAGGCGGGGACGGATGGGGAACTCCGCAACTTACTCGCAATAGAATCAGCAAAATGACAAGTAAAATAAAGTAAACAATATACAGGCCGACATCGACGGCCATGGCTGAGAACTTAAACTAAATCGACGACGATTTCTGTTCGACACGGTCAGGTAACTGTTCTATAATGGTAAAGCGTCTAGAACCAGTCACGATAAATAGAACTTGCGCCTTATCAACATTGCAAATGGTGGAGCGTGATTAATTATGTATATATATAAATATATATCAATAAAAATATATAAATACAGACACACATATTTATATTAGTATCATATCTGAACAGCAGCATATTATCAGTTAAATGCTCGTTGATATGATATGGAATTTAAACTATTGGGCTAGTACGCACCCGTTAGGCTGGAGGCCCGTCTAGAGCGATCCAACGTGCTCGCTGTGTCCTCAGAATTCCCATATTGTCGGCTCTTAAAGGACAACTATCGAGCAGAGAAACACAGATAACTTGAAGAACATTGAACTTGAATTCGAATAAACTTTACACACTTACAATAGCCACCAAGAGAAATAGTATAACGATATAAACAAAATCGATCGGATTCATTGTCCGTGCCAAACGGTTTGAAGTGCGAACACTGACAGAGTTTATAAACTTAGAAGTTATCTGAATGAGTTTAGCAGCACTCGTGGAACATATCATTAATGGTAAGGATTGTTATCTAATCAAGTGACAAGCTTTTTACTGCGTTTCGAGCTCTGCTGAAGCTTTCCCAGCTCGTCCACTCGAGAGTGGACGGCGGGAGGTGGGGGCTCTAGAGTGGGTGTGACCTATGGTCGAATCTTACCCTC